ATAAGAGCTGTAATATTATTGCAAAATTCTGAGTCGAAATTTAGGACAGCTTAGCTCAGGCTGCTTAAATTCACTTTTAGACAAGGATGAAAATCTGCTCATGAAGTGTTTTTGTGCCCTGTCCTCCACAATCCTTCAGTGGACAACTGCAGACGTCAATACTCAGTAATTATTTATACACACGTGCACTAAATTTAAAGAAAGCAAGTATTTTTGACCGATGTACACTCTTGGAATGTCAGGATTCTGACAACATTATACATTCCTATAATAACAGATATCACAACTAACAGGGAACGTTTTTTCAACGTTATGAAAATGTTCCAGTAAAATTAATAATGCTCATTCATTCAAGTTATCTGGTCTTTAATAATGTTCAAAACATTAGCATAGACATGTATTAATTGCTCATGGAACTTTTATTTCTGAAATATTTTAGTTGGACTTTTTTTTTAAATGTTGCTACTTTTTCGGAATGTTCAGAGAAAAGTAACATTCAAAAGTAGCATTCCCCCAATGTTTGTAAAATGGTCAAATGAATGTTTGCATAACCAATAAAATGTTTTATTTTTTTTTAAACTGGATGTTTAGAATGTTCAGCGAACATTGAGAAATAATATTTTCGCAACCTTATGGGAACGTTAGCAAAACGTTATTAGAACATATTTTTGTTAGCTGGGATGCCGCTGTTTTGTATTTTCAAAATATTTCACAGCCATAGCTGTAACATAAAACAGGGAAATAACCTCATACTTGATGCTTCTTTATCAAAAATGATCTATGTAGAAAGTCTCCGGTGCCATCTAAAATGGTGATTCCCAACAATTAAGGGGGTCTCAACAAACTTACAAATGTCCAAAATGATTTAAAATGATCTAAAATATGCAATTGTTAAAAGACTCCAGCTTAATTAAAAGCTAAAACCAATAAATTAAAAATGCATAACATGTAAACTGACATTATATGCTGCAATGTTGGGTCATTCTCAGCCCCAGATGTGCCAAATGAGTCCTGAGGCCTTCAAGTGTTATTTTGAACAATGGAGAGCATCACAAAGATCTCAGGAAGGTTGAAAAACACTGATCTTAGATTTTAAAGAGATGCATTTAATGCAGAACTGTCATCTACTGAGCCAATGACTGTCTAGACAGCTGGCATCTGTTCTGGACGCAGCCAATGTGTGTAATGGTCAGCAGGCAATGAGCTTGATGCTCAACATTCAAATACTTGGCTAGTGCCTGCTGTAGCAGCTGCAGCGCACTTCAGAAACCCTCCACCTTCCCCAGCTCCACCTGTATCTGCTATGGGGTGATTCATGTATGCTATATGGGGTTATTTCATATATGTGCAGCAGCAGTATTTCTTACATGCTCACAGCAGCATGTTGTGGATGTATTGGCAGTAGCAAGTCTTGGTACTTGCTCTGCCGCAGCAGCAGCAGCGTAGCAGATCTATTCCACCAAGACCAAACACATTAACATTGTCATGTACATTACCATGCCAATCCCTCCGAGAGTTGTCACGAAAGAAGTTCGTCTAACTCAGTTGAACATATTTGTATTAGAAGTTGTCATAACTCTGTTGACACGAAAACAATCCCACAATGCAAAATGTTTGTTGAGAATGGCAGCGCTGTTTCATCTGCCTTTAAACTAGTTTAAATCACCACGGAATCTGTGGTTTGTGTCGGAGAGCTCTGCTCCAAACGCGAACGCTTCTCACAGCGCTGATTGGTGGTCGCCTGATCGAGACCTACGAGTAAACACAGGTGCTGTGCTGTCTTTAGGCAGAGCCAATAACGGTCCGTGCAGCACGCTTCACACAAGTAGCGCTAAAGACATGACAGCAGCACATGAGTTATCAAATTGTTGTCACTCACGTTTTACTGATACATGATCTGGCCTAAAATGTAGTGCTATCACCTTGTGTTGACATCGTAAAACTTCATGATTTGTAAATTATGACTGGCGGGCCACTTACTGTATAATTGCTTACATTACAACAGACAAGCTGTGGTCTATTTAAAATTCATCCACTGGCCGTATGTGGCCCACGCCCGGACTTTGCACCTTCATAGATGCTATTTACAGTGAAAATAGTGATATGTACTATTTATTATATTATAGTATACTTAGTTACACTAAGTGACAACAGCAGGATTTTTAGAGATGTGCTATTTACACTAAGTGAAATAGCATTATATTTACGTTATGTAAAAGTAGCAGATCTTTGCAATGTGAAAATAGTAGCTAATTAGATGCTATTTATACTTATAAATAGTGACAGATACTATTTGTACCTCAGTATTGTACATGCCTGCATATGAGTGAGAAACATATGCATATGTGAAAATGACAATATTTGTATATGAATGTTAGAATTTAGGTATATAAAAATAAATAATACGTATGTGTGGAAGTGTAAATATATGTGCGTCAATGTCAGAATGCATGTGTTGAAAAGTAAAAGTGCATACAGTGGGTACGGAAAGTATTCAGAACCCCTTAAATTTTTCACTCTTTGTTATATTGCAGCCATTTGCTAAAATCATTTAAGTTCATTTTTTTTCCTCATTAATGTACACACAGCACCCCATATTGACAGAAAAACACAGAATTGTTGACATTTTTGCAGATTTATTAAAAAAAGAAAAACTGAAATATCACATGGTCCTAAGTATTCAGACCCTTTGCTCAGTATTTAGTAGAAGCACCCTTTTGATCGAATACAGCCATGAGTCTTTTTGGGAAAGACCCAACAAGTTTTTCACACCTGGATTTAGGGATCCTCTGCCATTCCTCCTTGCAGAGCCTCTCCAGTTCTGTCAGGTTGGATAGTAAACGTTGGTGGACAGCCATTTTTAGGTCTCTCCAGAGATGCTCAATTGGGTTTAAGTCAGGGCTCTGGCTGGGCCATTCAAGAACAGTCACAGAGTTGTTGTGAAGCCACTCCTTCATTATTGAGAATAGAAATGTATGTACGCGAAAGGAGAACGTAAGCGTGTGAGAATAGAAATGCATGTACGCGAAAGAAGAACGTAAGCGTGTGAGAATATAAATGTATGTACGCGAAAGAAGGGAGAACGTAAGTGTGTGAGAATAGAAATGTATGTACGCGAAAGCGTGTGAGAATAGAAATGTATGTACGTGAAAGCGTGTGAGAATAGAAATGTATGTAAACGGAAGGAGAACGTAAGCGTGTGAGAATATAAATTTATGTATGCGAAAGGAGAACGTAAGCATGTGAGAATATAAATGTATGTATGCGAAAGAAGGGAGAATGTAAGCGTGTGAGAATAGAAATGTATGTATGCGAAAGGAGAATGTAAGCGTGTGAGAATTGAAATGTATGTACGCGAAAGAATGGCGAACTTAAGCGTGTGAGAATAGAAATGTATGTACGCGAAAGCGTGTGAGAATAGAAATGTATGTATGCGAAAGGAAAACGTAAGCGTGTGAGAATAGAAATGTATGGACATGAAAGGAGAACGTAAGCGTGTGAGAATAGAAATGTATGTACGCG